TATAAGTTATACGATCATAAACTATGTAAATAATACTTATAATGACAAGAGAAAGTGATATAAGCTATAGGTATAGATATAATGATTATATGAACATGTAATATATAAGTTATGTGATGAGGATCTATGTTTTTATATGTCTATGAGAAGTATGTTCTATGTGATATATATAGGAGATATGTGATCCTATGAGAATATGAAAAGAGATATGTGAACATGTGAATTATATGAAAAGTGATATGAATTACATGAAAAGAAGCTATATGTCTACATGTATATGTGAAAGAAACTATGAGCTTATATGAACAGGTGATATGAAAGTGTATATATTAATGATATAATGAAAATGCCCATGTTATGTGTATTAAGAGCTAGAGGTATAGTTGGCATGCCAAGAGTCGAGGGTCTCGCGGCCTTCGGGACATATGTGTTATATGTTGTCCTTTGGGACATCTACATGGTCCTTCGGGATAAATTTTACGCGCCCCTAGTGGGAATTATACGAGCTGTGGTGACAGCATAGTGAACAACCTCAATAGACTCACATATCTATAGTGCTCACATGTGTACATGGGCTAATAAGAGATATTGAATACAATGTATGGGATATGTATGTTTTGGGATATGAACTATATAGGATATCTGTGTGTTAGTGATTATTGTATATGTTATAAGATATGATATGAACATAATTAATCATATGAACAAGAGAATAGAAATATGAATGATAATAAAATGATAATGATAGGAATGAAGATAATTATATGCATGTATGGATTTGATGGATGAACAGATATATGTTTGGGTAGATATGGTAGCAGTAATTGTTCATGCATGATTACAAGTTATAGTTTACATTATATGTTTATTTGCCTCACTAAGTCATAGACTTAGCGTGTAAGTGATTTACACGTAGGTTTCGAGAAGAGTAAAGAGCAAGGTGGAGAAAGACATGCCAGTTCTCCTTACCGAATGTCAGATCAGAAAAGAGGTGAATAATATGTATTTTTGTATATAAAGTTCTAGTTGGCATGTATTCAAAAGAGTATATTGTATAAGCTCTGAATAGTTTTGTAAACGTTTTGAATAAGTTATATATAGATGAATAAGGGAATTATGCAGGCTCTGATCGATTTTTTTTTCAATAATGAAAATGTATTTTATGTAAGTTAGTCATCTATATGTTATAAAGTTTTAAATTACTCATTATTTTATACAAGTAAATGTTTTGAAAAGTCAATGTGACACCTCAGACTTGTATTCGGGTCGGATACGGGTTGGCGGTGTTACAAAAAGTGTCGTAACGTCTTGAAAAAAAAAAAAATTAGGAGTTTTTTTATACTAAATTGGATTTTTTCTTTAAAAATTAAAAAAATATAGTTTGAAAGAGTCGCCACTAATTTATTTAGAGAGTGATTGGATCATCCAAATATATTGTCATTTCAATAAATTTAATCTTAAAAATTATTAAAATAACTTTTAGGTCTTCTTTCTAGAAAAATGAGTCCGGGAGTCAATTATATGTGGAGAATTATTAACACCCGACAATGCTCGAAAATAGATACTTATTCAATTAATTATTGTCTTTGCAATAAAATTTATGAATTTAAACCTAATTTAATCAATGATCCCTTTTAATTAAATAAATATAATATTATTTAACCAATTAAAATTTTAGAGAGAAAAAGTTAACAACTCGTTGTATTTAACTGAGAATTAACCACATAATATAAAATAGAGTTGTATCCCTCCCATTTCCAACTAAAGCAGCAAATTATCAATATTTCTTTTTAAAAATTTCAAGTTAAATTTATAACACTTCAACATTTCAAACCAAAAGGAAACACCACCTAATATAAGAATGACAATTTTCCTTTTCCGGAAAGAAACAAAATATTGTAATTAAACATTGTATTTATTTACCTCGGGTTATGCAACAAACAAACATTTTATTTTTAAAATTACACAATTTTAAGATAGAAAAAAATATTTAAATATTTATAAATATTGAGTCTAAACCATCGAATAGGGTTGAGTGGCTCATCATTAGATCTAAATACAAGAACATTTTCCTTTCTACACTTTTATTAACTTTAAAATGTCATTATTTTTAAATGGTTCCAATGGAAGGTACTTATTCATTTCAAAATTACCGAATTAAATTACCCAGGTGGATTAGGATAACTCTCTTCGATAATTTAAAAGAATAAGCATTACTTATTAATTTATTATGAAAAAGGTTGAGTGATGAGGATGAGGATATCATGCTTATTAGAATAAATAAAGATGTCATGCAATCAAACATCATGCTTCATAAAATATTATAAAAAATTAAAGAAACAAATCAAGGAATGAATTCAATTATCATGGTAAGATTATAATGCAAAGAGTTAAAATTAAATGAATAAATGGAATAGGCAAGTAGTTAGAAATATAAATAGTAAATCAAAAAGATAAGAAAAATAATGCAAAAAAAAAGTATGAATACTAAAATTACTAAAAAATAATAAAGTAGTAAATATACATACGAAGAGAATAATAAAAAGTAAAGAGAAAATATAAAGAAAAATAAAAATAAGGATAAATGAAAATTAATAGAGATAAATAAATTTGTAAAAATATTTATATATTATAATGTGAATAGACATCAAGAGAATAAAAAATAATTAAAATCATAAATATAGATTATGAATTTAAAAGATATGAACATTAAATATAAAAATATGTATTTACTAAAATGAATCAAAATAAAATAATAAATAGTATATATATACATATAAGAAGTAATAAAAAATTGAGGTGAAAAAAAAGAAAATAATAAATAATAATAAATAAAAGTACAGAAAAATAAAATATATAAAATATGTATATAATATGTAATATGATACGATACCTAATAATATAATAATACAAAATATATATATTATGTGTAAAAAATATGTGTATATATATATATATAAATAATGTTTATAACATAGAAACATATATAGTATAGAAAAAATAGATTGATAAGAATTAAAAAATAATTGATTTTCATGAGAAACTTCAAGGAATGATAGATTTTTTAAAAAATTATTAGAAAGTATTGTCCTTATTTCTCAGTTTTCTCTTCTCCAATAAAATTTAAAAAAAAAACAAAAAACAAAGCTATAACTAATCAAATAAACATGAATAAAAGTCAAAAAAAAAAAATATCTTGAACCGAAAGTTTTCTTTTATTACTTCCACTCTCCAATTACAAAAGCAAAGTTTATCTTTACCTTTCTAAAAAATACAAACCTTCTTATTAAAAATATTAATATATATTAACTAATATCTTTTCCATTTTTTCAATGATTTTGCACTATACAGAATATAAGGTGCGTGACACACTCTAGTTATTCTAATAAGCAAAAATATAATTAAGTATTTATGTTTTATTGAATAAATACTATTTTTTAAAACAATGTTATTTTTTGTGATTTTTAATTAAAATATACTTTTAAAAAATATATACATAATATCTCTAATTATTAATTATAATGTATTAAATTAACACATAATCTTTGTAATTTTTAAAATTTTATTAATTAAAATTTAATTATATTAAGGGTTAACAACACGGATAATCACTTATGTTTGTGTTTTGTCCATTTTTTGTCACTAATTTAAAAAAATAAGATATCGTTACTTTCGTTTTTATTTAATTAAGATATGATCACTTTCGTTTTATTTAATTAAGATGTGGTCATCAAGGGTTAACTATTGTTAACAATTAAAAAATATGTAACGTGATAGTTGGTGTAATCACACATTTAGTCTTTGTCATTTACATATTCTCTCAATTTAATCATATTTTTAAATAAATTTTAAAATAAAATATATATTTTAAATGAAATAAAATAAAATATTTTTAAATTAAGTTAATATAAAATATATTTAATAAGTTAATATAAAATTATATTTTAAGGTAATATATAAAAATTATGAATTTAAGTATTTATACACTAAGATACAAAATATATACATCATATTGTCTACTTTAGACCAAACAATAGTCTTGGCTCAATGGTTGGATACATTTAGTTTCTTAAGCGATCAAGGTTTGAATATTTTTTTGCCCCAATTTATTTTCCTTTGTTTTCTTTCAACTAGAGGTAAATGACATCTGACATCATTCGATTGAAGATTAAATTTATTTTAATTTATTAAAAGTAAGACTAAATTGAGAGAATATGTAATAATAGAGACCGAATGCGTGATTATATCAAATATTTTACTGTTGTCAACAACTATTAGCTCGGGGTGACTATATCTTAATTAAATAAAAAACAAAAGTAGCTATATCTTATGTTTTTTGAAATCAATGATCAAAAGTGAACAAAACACAAACGTAAGTGATCATCTGTGTAGTAACCCTTATATTAATTTATTTAGTAAAAATAAAAAATGTCATCTACCATTAAAAATTTTCCTACTAAAAACTGCATACTAAGTTATTTTATTTTTTATATTTCAATAAATTTATACAGCTAAAAATAATCATCACTAAAAATGTACTTTTTATTTTTTGAAAAAATATAATTTGTCAACAAATATTATTATTATTTTTAAAAAATATGAGTAAATTAATTCTCGTTTTATGTAATACGCGTGAGTGAATCGTGTCACAAATCAAATAAAAATAATTTAATTGTGAAATATAATGAAAAATTTAATTGTGAAATACACATATTTTTACAAAAAAATTATGTTTTTTTTAAAATACAATATCAATAAGAATACAAATTTTATTTATTTAAAAATAATGTAAAAATGATTGTCCTTTATTCTTGTTTTAATATTTTTTTTATTTTAATAAATTAGTATTATTACAATAAAAATGAAAAAAATATTATTTTAATACAATTTTAAAATTATTATCATTAGATACAAAATTAGGATTATTAACATTTGCATTTTCTTTTGTAGTAAAACAGTAGTACGGGTAGGTAGTAAACGGTAACAAAGCTGGGCAACAACTGTAACTCTGAAGCTTCTTCCAATTCAATTTCAAACCTCTTTATAGCAAAGTTCCTATATTGAGCACAATTCAGATCTCTTTTCATTTATAAAAATCTCTATATAATAATATCATATAAGCTACCTTTTGGTTAAAGCAAACCCAGAATTCACGTGCTACTTGTAAGTATGCAACAGAATTATATGTTAATATATATACACATGTAGGATAAAGATATTGTTATGCTTATCATTATCATCATTGTAAATATATTTTCTGTATTCTTTTCCTCTCACTTTATTCATTTTTTACTGCTTTGTTGGTGTGTTTCCTGACAATATAAACTGCTCTGAGGTGTAATTCATCTGTATGAAGGGAAAAAAGGTATTTTGAGATGGGTAGGTGGAACGAGTTTGGTGGGGTTTTGTTGAGCATTGCATTGTTGGGGGTGGTGGTGGTGGAAGGGTATCCGGCGGAGGATCTGGTGGTGAAATTGCCCGGTCAGCCGCGGGTTGGGTTTAAGCAGTATGCTGGTTATGTTGATGTGGATGTAAATGCTGGGAGGAGCTTGTTTTATTATTTCGTTGAAGCTGATAAAGACCCTGCCAACAAGCCCTTAATTCTCTGGCTCAACGGAGGTTTGCTTCCTTATTTTGCTCATTGTTTTCAAAACTTTTGTTGTTTTGTTCACTAAATTATGAGTTTTACTGTGAAATATTGCATTTTGTCTGTTTTAACCCATTAGTACTTTCATTTTTGTGTCTTTCACAGCATTCTAGCTATTTTCTAACTTTTTTTTGGATTTTGTAGACGACTTATTGTTGGTCTTTCTATTTACCTTTTGAAGTTTCATTTTCTTCTTCTCCCACTTTTTGTACTTCGGTTCCTTTTACCAATGCTGGGTATTATTAACTTATTTCTCAAAGAGTATCTTTTGATATTGCCTTCCAATAGAAACCAACTGCATTAATACATATGTTACCCAGATTTCTTTATTTCCCCCTAAATTACCATCATTTGATACCTATATTCCATGCATATTCAGCATGGTACAAGAATATGAATATATATGCTCAAAATCGCATTGTCTTAATTGAGGGTGATAGAGCCTCCTTACTGCTACATTTTTCATTCATGTTGAGGCTTAAACCTTCAGCATTAAGAATTTACTCATGTTTTAAAGTGGTATTGGTGTTGGGATTTGAGAGAAATTGATGTTATGTTGTGAAAATGACCATCCAACTCAGTTGGTAGAGCACAAGGTTCTTAACCTTGAGGTCGTGAGATGGAGTCCCATGGAGGGCATTTCATAATTTGGAGGTCTCCTACTGGAGTTGCTCTCAACCTAGTGTTGGGGGCAGCCTATTATCTTACCTCCCCTTACCCCATTACATATGGGAACAGGGACATCCATTTGATGTTATGTTGTGAGGTTCCTCTGTTGCCTGTTGGTATCTTACCTTCAAATTCCATTTCAGGACCAGGGTGTTCCTCCGTTGGTGGGGGTGCTTTTACTGAACTCGGTCCATTTTATCCTCAAGGAGATGGCCGAAACCTTCGAATAAACTCAATGTCATGGAATAAAGGTATAAAACATGTTCATTGCATTTAGATGAAATGAATTCCACTGTTTGATTGTTAATGAATATAATATTGACACTTACATGTTTTTTCCCTCATTTTCTTATCTTAATAGCATCAAATCTCCTGTTTGTTGAGTCTCCTGTTGGTGTAGGATGGTCTTACTCAAATACCTCTTTGGATTTAATTCGCGGGGATGCTTCCACAGGTATTTTAATTTCTTCAACTGGTTTTAGGATATGATTCCAGCAGCGAACTTCACTAATAGATATTGAAATTATCAGTTTGGAGGAAAAAAAATGATCTGAACTCAATCTCTTGTTCTTGTCAGCCAGGGATATGCATATTTCATGATGAAATGGTATGAGAAATTCCCAGAATTTAAGTACAGAGAACTGTTTCTTACTGGAGAAAGTTATGCAGGTATGTTTTTGGCTAATTAATCACCTAAATTTTGTAAACAGATGGGTTAACCAATACATGAACTCTAATGGTATTACACATTGTCATACAGGACATTACATACACAGTTGGCTGAAGTTCTACTGGATCATAATGAACATTCAACTGGTTTTAAGTTTAACATCAGAGGAGTTGCCGTCAGAAAACATGCACTACCCTCTGTTCTTTGACAAGGGGAAAAAAACATGATATCGGGATCTTATGGTTCTTCTTGTGATTGGTCTAACTTGGTTACTTGATTTCTCCATATTTAGATCGGGAATCCACTTCTCATGCTTGACCGGGATGTTCCCGCAACATATGAATTCTTTTGGTCACACGGGATGATTTCTGATGAAGTCGGGCTTACCATCATGAATGAATGCGATTTCAATGACTATACCTTTGAAAGTCCCCATAATGTATCCCAGTCCTGCAACGATGCCATAGCTGAAGCAAATAGCATCGTTGGTGATTACATAAACAATTATGATGTCATTCTAGATGTCTGTTATCCATCTATTGTTGAACAAGAACTGCGATATGATGTCATTCTAGATGTCTGTTATCCATCTATTGTTGAACAAGAACTGCGATTGCGGAAAATGGTATATTTTTCTTCTCCTTCCTTTTGGTACAAAACAAGGCTGTAACTTATTAAGAAGAGTTGCGTGAACCAACTGAACAAAACCAATATTATTCAGCCGTGCAATAATTCATTTTCCTGATATATGCAGGCCACAAAGATAAGTGTTGATGTGGATGTGTATGAGCCTTGAAAGGCGTTTCTACTTTAACCTCCCTAAGGTTCAGAAGGCACTTCATGCCAATCGCACCAAATTACCTTATCCTTGGACCATGTGCAGTGGGTAAGCAGATCCACCACTCTCTTCCCTCTTTTGAAATACTAGTCTTGTTTAATACGTGATTATTGTCCCCCCCCCCCCCCGGCACTGAACAGCCTATTAAGGTACAATGACACTGATGGTAACATAAACATCCTATTCTCAAAAGAATTATCCAAAATGGCATTCCCGTGAACTAGCTAATGATTTGAAGTTCAAGATTACAGTCCCATATGGAGTTTGGTTTCTCAAACACCAGGTTTTTATTTTAATGCAATGTCAACATATCTAAAGTCCCCGCCGCTGCTTTTAATGTTTGCAACCTTCTTCATTTTCTTGGGTCTTTTTTTTGGGGGGGGGGGGTTAGGTTGGAGGTTGGGTGACCGAATATGGCAATTTATTGACCTTTGCCACTGTGAGGGGGGCTGCACATATGGTACCATATGCACAACCATCAAGAGCCTTGCATCTATTCAGTTCATTCATACATGGCCGGCGACTTCCTAATAACACATCCTCCCGTTTTGGAGTGAGAAAATTGCAACAAAAAAAACACGTGTTATAGAGTTGCACGTTAATTAAAGCTTCAGAATTTGTACCAACAGGTAATAAGGGAATAAGTGCATCACCAGAAGGAAAGAATAGCACGGAGTGTGTTTTGGCGTATGAATTGTGGGAAAATGTAAGTTGGTTCATTGGTTTAAGATTTATAATCGAATTGCCTGCACCTGATATCTCAATCAAAAGGAATATATAACCGAAAAAATTGAGAAACAAATCGTTCATCCCAACAAATAATTTTCACACACTCCTATTAGAGTCATATATGCTTCACTATAGATGAGGTTTCAACAAAAACTTGGTCCAATCATGATGTCTAAAGCCGTCTGTTCATTTATGCGGGTAATATCATAAATACATCAAGAAGTTAAAACCGAGTATAAAACGAATATAAATGTTAAGAGTTTATATAAATTTGAAATACTTCGGAAAAAAAAAATAAAGTGAACACACACATAATTTCACTAAATTGAAACATCATGAATAATTATGCAAACATATGAGATGGATTTTGATACAACACAACCAGGGACACATATGAGCAAACAATTTTCTTTTTTTTTAAAAAAAAATGAATCAAATGGAAAAATCATGGAAAATAAAAATGCATTGAGATGTTATACAAATATAACATAAAAAATAATTAAAATACACTGAAAAATATCATGAAAACAAAATGAAAACATGAACGTGTCAAAATATACATATAAGAATTAGTGATGTATCTACCCACAAAACATTATTTGCATAACCAAACAAATAATTTGTAATAGCAACCCCAATAATACCCAGACAATTAATGCTATAAGCACTAGCCGAATGCCCCAGAAACCCCTAAAAGTTTATTAATACTAATGCTTAGTTGTCAATTAAAACATGGATTCAATTTGGGGACACATTTTAAGAGTTAAAAATGTTAGTAACACTGAGTTGAAATGCAAGTAGGGTTGCACATAATTCGGATTTCAATCCGATCCGGATCGGTTTTTATCCGATCCGGTTTTTTCCCATAGAAAAAAAATCGGTTTATAAAATAACCGGTTCGGTTTCTAACGGTTTGGAGGGCCGGATATCCTAACCGGTGTAACCGGTTTCGGTTTTAAAAAAACCGGTTTTTTTAAAAAACCGGTTATAAAAAAACCGATTTTAATATTCCAGATTGCTCATAGGGAACCGATTCCCCCCCAAGGGTACCGATTCCTCACTGAATGGTTTGGCTCCGAGATTTCCAGAATGCTCGGAGGGAACCGATTCCCCCATAGGGGTACCGATTCCCCCCTATTCAACGGTCGAAATATTTGAATTTTACACTTAGGGAACCGATTCCCTATGAGAGGGTACCGATTCTCCCACGCTCTAAGCATTTTTATTAAATGTTTTCACACTTAAACGGCTATATTATCTTCATTAATTATCACTAACGTTCAGAAGTGATTCAAGGTGTATTTAAGCAAGCTTAGAAGTCATTGATCAAAGACAAGAAACATCAAGCAACTAGAATCAAGAGAGAATCAAAGAGAAAGCATCAAACCTCAAGTTCGATAAATTCAAATACTTAATTGAAATACTTAATTAACTCAACATAATTGAAATACTTAAATACTTCCAAGTTTGATAAATTCAAATACTTAAAAACTTCCAAGTTCGATAAATTCAAATACTTAAAAACTTCAAGTTCGATAATTGAAACAAAGTTTACGATAATTGAAATAAAGTTATAAAATAAACTACATTGCCATCTCTTCTTCATCATCTTCGCCTTCTTCGTTTGGAGGGGATATTCCAAGTTCGACTTCTTCAATGTGTAAGTTTGCTTCCAAATCGGCATCAATGCATCTTCTAGGGTGGTGATATGTTGCTTACGAGCCGCTCCATCCAAATAATCCTTTAAACAAATGCATACTTCCACCGACTCGGGACTTAGTCTTGATCTCCGTTGTGATATAACCCTGCCACTAACAGAAAAAGCGGATTCCGAAGCTACCGTAGAAGCTTGGACGGTTAGTAAATCACGGGCCATGGCGGCTAGAATCGGAAATTGTGCTTCCTTTTCTTTCCACCAAGCCAAAATATCCAAACTTTCAAACTCTTCAAATGTCATTTTTGATAGAAAATCGCATGACATGTAATTTCCCAACTCGCTACTTGGGGTGGTAGTACGTGATCGTTTGGATTGGGAATTTACAAGAGTGTTAAAAAGATTCAAATTTATGTTACTTGGACGTCTACTAGATGATTCCGCATTCATTCTCATTTGATCGTGTATTACACTACTTGATCCGTATTTAGTTAAATAAATTGCAAACATGTCTCGAAAACATTTGTTAAAATAATTATTTGGTTTTGGACAAAGTTGGGTTCATCATCGGTTAGATTAAAAGCAAACGCAATTTGTTCAATTAGTGTTTCAACCCCACCAACATTTAACGTTGGGTTTAAAGCGGCGGCACAAGTAAAAATGGGGGGAATCTCCTTAAAATATTTTAAAAGTTTTTCCTTCATTGCAAAGCCAATTTCTTGAAAAACTTCGGTTTCAAATTCAAAGTCATTTAGTCGGGTAGCCAACAAAAATATTTGATTAAGAACCAACGGGCTAGTAGGGTAATAAACACCGGATAAAAAAGTTGTTGCATTTTTAAAAACCTCAAGCAAATCGGTTATTTTGGCTATAGTTTCCCAACTCGAATCCGGATAAATGTCTGGGACATGACCCCTCTCGAAAAGCCGATCGTGAAATGTTTGCAATGTTTCCCTTTGCCTTAAGGCAGTATGCATCATCATCCAAGTTGAGTTCCAACGAGTTGGACAATCCAAATTAGGACCCAAAGCTTTTTTATTAACAGACTTACAAAATCGTTTATAATCATTTAGTCTTTTGTTGTTGTTACAAAGAATCGATTTTATCATTGTTTTAAATTCTAATCTAATTGGCTCAATAACCTCCAAACCGGCTTGCACGGATAAATTAATTATGTGTGCAACGCAACGGGTATGAAAAAACGCACCGTCTAAAATCGGTGAAAGTAATATTTTCAATCTTGGAACCGCGTTTGTATTATTCGATGCATTATCAAAGGATATAGAAAAAACTTTATTTTCTAATTTATAAAGACAAATTACCCGTTTTAAAAGTGTAAATAAATTAGCACCGGTATGCGGCTCACCGAATAATTCAAACGCGATTGTTCTTTTCATCATTTGCCAATTATCTTGATCTAACCAATGTGACGTAACGGCTAAAAAAGAATTTCCGGTATTATGAGGGGAACTTCAAACGTCACATGTAAGCGACACACCATAACGGTGTTCTTGGAATCCTAAAATCATTTTTTCCCTCGCCGTACGCCACATTTTTATAGCATCTCTTCTAAGGGTAGTACGACTTACTTGAGTATAACGTGGTTGCATTAGTTGTTGAATTGTTGTCGTGAAATCTTCATCATCAAAGTGGTCGAACGGCAATGCTTTTGTAATCACGAACTTTGTAAACGCTTCTCGTAATTTTCGTTGTCGTAAACAAAAACACCACCTTGCGGTGTAAGATTCGATTGACTAGGATCCGATCTTGAGCGAAGTGCCTTGCATGATTTTGTCAAATGGTTCTTCAACGTTGTGTTTCCTTCCGATGCAAGAAACTTTAGACAAAGTTTACAACGCGCCCTCCTCGAGCCATTTGACATCTCACATAAATCGTAGTGATCCCAAATATCTTTGTTTCGAGTGTGTTCGATCACTCTCACGACTTCAAGGTTTCCCCCGACGGAAGATTCAGCAGTGTTACTCATGATGAATAAAAAATTACAAAACTAAGATTTGAGAGATGTTTAAGTGTTGTGTAATAAGATTTGAGAAAGTTGTAATCAACCAAATACATCCCCAACCTATTTATACATGTTTAGGATGGTAAAATAGTAATTTTTTAAAGAAAAAAACGGTCAAAAACGGTCACAAACGGCTATATTAACGGCTAGTTTTTTAAACCCAGACCGGTTTTTTTTTTCGGATAAAAACAGGTTTTTTAACCGGTTTTTTTCAAACCAGTTTTTTATCTGGTTAAAAAACCGGTCTGAATTTTTTTCTCCAAACCGGTTAAAATAACCGGTTTAAAAAAATCCGATCCGGTTAAAAAAAAACCGGTTTTTCCCAAATCCGGTTTCGGATATTTTTTTCGCTAAATCGGATATTCGGATTTTTTGTGCACCCCTAAATGCAAGTATTTAACGAAGAATATCAAAATTATTTATTTTTTCACAATGCTGAAGAACACAACACAAGAGAACTATATATATGTGTGTATAGAAGCAAAAAGAAAATGGGAGACATACCTGAAGCACCTCTTGGATAACTCCAAGGTCTCATCTCCAGATTTGTGTACATTGACCAAAATATCAGGCATGAACCATGGTCCTTTGTTGTCGGCACCTGCAAGCACCGGATGTTAAATTGGAGGGAAGTTCACAGTTTACTTTTTCTTTTACTTCCTTAAAAGTTTTTGAACCGCAATGCCGGAAATAAATTTACTTGAAGCACTCTAGGAAACCCCCATAAGTACGCAAGACTTCATTAAGTCAGTAATAATGAAAGACAGTTGCACAAACAATTTGGAAAAAAGTATTCCAGGGTTAACAAAAGAGAACTATAAAAAATATTTGAAGAGTTCTTAAGAAAAGTTCATCAACATTTGGCACCAAAACAGTTCAGATATAAAAAGAATTAATGAATTATACTAGAAATAAAATTAAATCACGTAAAACATCCACTAACGATAGTCAATGACCCAGATAAAAATTGTTAGGTGCTCCAAAAACAAGTGGGGGACTGAAATAGTACCTATTAAAGGAGAAATAACATCAAGACCACCAGTTCCAGGTGTCATTGGCTGCCCTCCAGGTGTACCTGGAATATAGGATACTGAGCTTGGTGTCATAGGTTGCCCACTGGGA